AGGTTCCTCAGAATGCTCAAAATAGAAATACCATTTGACCCAGGAATTCCACTTCTAGGAATTTACCCTAAGAATGCAGCACTCCAGTTTGAAAAAGACAGATGCACCCCTATGTTTATCGCTGCACTGTTTACAATAGCCAAGATATGGAAGCAACCTAAATGTCCATCAGTATATGAATGGATAAAGAAGATGTGGTACATATACACAATGGAATATTACGCAGCCATAAGAAAAAAACAGATCCTACCTTTCACAACAACATGGATGGAGCTAGAGGGTATTATGCTCAGTGAAATAAGCCAGGTGGAGAAGGACAAGTACCAAATGATTTCACTCATATGTGGAGTATAAGAAGAAAGGAAACAACTGAAGGAACAAAACAGCAGCAGAATCACAGAACCCAAGAATGGACTAATAGTTACCAAAGGGAAAGGGACTGGGGACAATGGGTGGGAAGGGAGGGATAAGGGTGGGCAGAAAGAAAGAGGGCATTACGATTAGCATGTATAGTGCTTCGGGGGCGCGGGGAGGGCTGTGCAACACAGAGAAGACAAGTTGTGAGTCTACAGCATCTTACTAGGCAGATGGACAGTGACTGTGAAGGGGTATGTGGCGGCAACTTGGTGTAGGGGGGAACCTAGTAAACATAATGTTCTTTCTGTAATTGTAGATTAATGATACCACAATAAAAAATAAAAATAAAATAAAAACATCTTATAGATAAAATACTTCTTTTCCTGCTAATAGCAATTTATCTTCATTTGCCAGTAAAAATTCCATCCTTTTACTCTTCTCCTTTTTTATTTTTTGATGCTGTGATTCCATCACCAAATTATAGCAGCTGTAGTTGTTTTTAATTATCTTTTCCCTTAAACTTTATGCTATATTTAAGAGTTTAATATACTATTCTAAAAAATAATTACAGTATTCTGACTATTTATTTCCTTAATCAGAGTTTTGTGTACTTTTGTCTTTTTGTTTCAGCTTGAAGAGCTTTTCTTAACCTTTTTCTTGGGCAGGTCTAGTTGTGGTGAATTCCCTCAGCTTTTGTTTGTGTGGACCTTTTATTTCATTTCACCTCTGAAGGATAACTTTACCAAATAGAGTATTTTTGGCTGGCAGTTCTTATCTTTCAATATTTTGAATATGTTATTCCACTCTCTCCTGATCTGTAGTTTCTGCAGAGAAATCTTTTGATAGCCTCATGGGGGTACCTTTGTAGGTTCCTGTCTTTTTTTCTCCTGCCTGCCTTTAAAATTCTTTATCATTGACTTTTGACAGTTTTAATATAGTGTGTCTTAGAGAGGATCTTTTTGCATTGAGATAATAAAGTGTCCTGTTAGCTTCATGGACTTGTATATCCAGTCCTTCCTCCCTCCCTCCCTCCCTCCCTTCCTTCCTTCCTCCCCTTTTATTTCTTTCTTTTTTTCTTCTTATCTACATTTAATCTTTTATTTAAAATTTGTTTTTCCTTTTTAAAGTTGTTTTCCTTTTAAAGTTGATATTATTATTTATTTAAATACATTCACTGATCCCCTCTTCCTTTCTTTTCCTTCTGGGATATTCATTATTCTTATGTTGACTTTTCTAATGGAATCAAATAGTTTCTTGAAAGATTTCTTATTTGAAAGATTTAAAAAATCTTAGTCCTCCATGTGAATCATTTCCATATTTCTATTTTCTATATTTCTATCCTCAAGCTCACTGATTCTTTCTTCCATATGATCTGTTATTTTCCCAATGCATTCTAATGCATTCTTCATCTCATTTATTGAGTTCTTCAGCTCTAAAATGTATTTGGTACTTTTTTAGAATTTCAGTCTCTTTGGTAAAATACCCTTGTTCATTAACTTTATTGCTGGGATAATTTTATTGCCTTCAAGTGTTCTTGTAGCTTGTTGAATTCTTCATAGCAGTTATTTAAAATTTTTTATCAAATTAGATCACAATATTCAACGTCTTTGGGTTTGGTTGCTGAAAAATTGTCATTTTGTTTTTGTGATATTGTATTACCGTGATTTTTCATGGTGTTTGATGAGAAGGTTTTCTGCCACTGCATTGGAAGTAGAAGCACCTTTTATACTCAGGCAAGGTTTTGTTTACTCTGATTCTAATAGTTCAACTGGTTGGTAGTTAGGCGCCTTCCTTTTGTTCTCCAGAAGGTGGCGCTATAGCACAAGTTTTCGGTTCTTTTTGCAAGAGCTGATTTGCCGCTAAGACTTGGGAGTGTGGGCATTAAAAAAAAAAGGTGGTGGCAGAGTGTGGGTGGGTGCATGGCAGAAGTTACGTAGTCCTTAGGGCTTTGGGTGTGCCTATGCCCCAGTAGAGGGACTCTGTAGAGGTCTGCAGGTGGTCCTGTTGCCTCCTTGGGCAGACAGCAGGAGAGGCTTTCTTTCAGTTCCTTTTGGTCTGCCACTTCCTTTTCCTTTCCCTTCCCCCCAGTCACAGCAATCCCCCTTCAGAGACAGCAATTGGTCCCTCAGGCTGCAGTGCATGTGGCCAAGCAGACGCCCCCCAACTCCTTGCCTCCATCTGCCCCTTCTTCTCCCAGAGGGCTGTGCTGGCTCACTCCTGGACCAACCCATGCCTGCTCTGCCTTCACCTCCTCTGCCACCCCAGCGCTGCTATCACTTCCCTTGCTCCACAGCCTCCTCCAAGGTTCAGTCCGCCCACTTTCAGGTGCACAGATGGATGGATCTCTCTGGTATGCTGTGCAGAGACGCTTTTCTTCTTTTTTAAAAAATCTGTTTGTGGACTTCCAATTAGTTGTAAATCGAAGGGGAGAGGAAAAAAGGAACAACTCACACTGTCATGATGCCGACATCACTCTATTATAATCCACCAATTCTTTATTTCAATAATGTTCCTTAATCTTGGTAAGAAAATATAAAAAATATACACCTGTGACTACTTTATTCAAAAGTTGTTTATAACAAACATGTTAAAATTTTTATTAAATGCCTTTCCAGCATCTATAGAGCTGACCATATTTTTTTTTTATCATCTATTGCTACAGTGAATTATATTGGTAGATTTTTCTAGTATTGAGCCATCTTTGCATTATTGGAATAAATCAACTTGAATATGATTACCTATCCTTTAATGGGCTTCTTCATTTTCTCGGAGTAAATTTGACTTAAAATTTTTGCTAATGAGATTGTTCTAAAATATTTGTTTTTCTTTTTTTTTTTATGCTCTGGAGCAATTTAATTACATTGGAATTATCTGTTCCTTAAGTGAATTTCTTCTAGAAATTCTCTTATAAAACTGGCTGGGCTGGGTGTTTGAGAAAGAGCTCTTTGGCAGTATTTCCTCCCTTTTTCTTTCTTCCTTCCTTCCCCCTCTCCCTCTCTCCCTCTTTCTTTCTTTTCCTTCCTTCCTTTCTTTCTTCTTTCCTCTCTCTGTTTTTACCCTCCCTCCCTCCCTCCCTTTTTCTTTTATTCTCTTTCCTTGTTTTTTGATAACAATTAGTAACACTCATATTTCTCAAAGTTAATGTTTATAATTATATTTATATTTTATAATTTTTAAACATATATTTATATGTGTATAATTAATTTTATAATTATAATTATATTATTCTGGAACATTACCCATTTTATCCTGTATTTCAAAACTTTTGGCAGTAAGTTGAGCAAAGTAATTTTGTTAATTATAAAAAGATCTCCTTCATTTACATTAGATCCCCTTTTTCATTTCCTATTTTATTCATTTATGCCTTTTCCCTTTTTATCTTGATTAATTTATTGTTCCATTTGTTTTGCTGGTGTTTTCCAAGCACAAGCTTTTTGATGTTTTTATAATTCTGTTTTTCTTAATCATACAGTCTGGTTTTAATTGCATTGGTCCTTCCTTCCACTTTTCTTTCATTAATTTTGTTTCTTTTTCTTCTACTTGAATTGAATGCTTGATCCATTAAACTCATATTGTCTAATGTAAATATTTAAGGCTATGATTTTTCTCATAGTACTGCATTCTTTACATAGTATTTTTTTTATCCTTGTTTTCAAGATATTTTGAAATTTTATTTTTTTATAGGTTAAGTCATTTAAGAAAATTTCTAGGTAGTACTATTCTTGATTTGTCATTAATTATAATGTATTTTGACTCATATCTTTATTTTTTCCTTTTGATCAGACACTACTATTTACATTATTTTTACCTTTCAGAATTAAAGTATGCTTTGTGGTCTAGTATTTAACCATTTTTTATTAGTGTTTTATGTCTCTACTTTAAAATAAATCATAGTGTCTCTTTGTAGGGCACAGTGTACCATATAAGACAATGAGACCTCTATTACTGTGTTATTTAGGTTTTGTATGTCCTTGTAAATTTTTGTCCATTTGTTCCCCTTTGAATTCCCTAAATGCAATGAAAATGCGTGTCTGATGAATGAATGCATGATGCAGAACTCCCTGTGGTCAGCTAAAACTGTGTTGTGTTTTGTCTTCCCAGCCAAAGATTGCTGAGGAAAACTTGACCTATGCTGAGCTGGAGCTGATCAAACCGCACCAGGCTGCCAAAGGCATCCCCGCCAGCACTGTCTATGCCCAGATCCTCTTTGAGGAGAACAAGCTGTAACGCCGTCCCTCTTCCGTGGTCCTATTTAATACCTGCCACCCTGGTTATTTATGAAACCTTGGAAACAAAGTCCTTATTTTTCTATTTTCACTTGTGCCTTCTGTGTGGTAGGGAGCCCCGTGCCAACAGTATTCTAGGTACCTTTAAAGACAGATACAAGGTACAAGTTTTGAAGGCTCCTCTCTGCAAAAGAGTAGGGTCCACACCCTTTGGACAAATCTCCCAGGACAAGACTTCTCTGGGTTTGAGCCCTGAGGAATAAGAACTCTGATTCTGAGAGCACCCAAGGAGATTCTCTGCTGAGCCAACTTCACATTTTCTTCTTTCTCTGGGTCTTAATTTTTATTTTTAAAAATCTTTTTAAATCTTAATTTTAATCTTCTGCTCTTTCTGTATCCCTGATATCAAGCTCATAGTATATAGCTAGAGGAAATGCCATTATAGGCCAATGTGTGAGATGGTAGATACATAGTATCTGGTTTTCAGAGGATTAGATAGTATTGCTAGGCTACCCAGAGCAGAACAAACTGCTTATTGCAAGCAGTCACTCCAGATAGCATCTCTTGTTTTAAATAGATGCACTGACCCTCATGATTTAAGGGCAGATTGTAGGGGTTCTGAGGTCTAGGCCAGCAGTGAGTAGTCTCTGAACACCCCCATGCCTGTTTCCCTACCCAGGATCACCCAAGGCCATGGAACAGGTTAGAACACCATTCTAAAGGGTTTCCACCCCTTTGGCAGGGTGGACTTATGCCAATATAGAAACTAATATTTCCCACGAAGTTCTTAAATTCTTCCAAAGAAGCAGGGAAATTTGCCATCCACTGGAGGCCTCTTGGAACTGTTAGCAACTCTAATCGAATGTCTACTTGTGTGAGAGCAAAGTCTTTTACCTGGTCTCTCCTTGGTAGGAGAGTAGGAAGTACAAGCTGAGCTAGAAAAGTATGTCTTCGGGTCCCCATTCTTGCAAAGTGCCTTGTCCAACTCAGCTTCACATGCAAATCCTAATGGGCTCAGGTCAGGGGAAGCAGGGAGGCACGGCATATAAACGTGGGGAGGTTGTGCTGCAGACTTGAAATCCAGGATCGCCCTGAAGATGGATCCATTCGGGAAGGCAGCCATCTTGTCAGCTGTGTTGTGAAGGACACTTTCATGTGAATGTGCCCTGGTTGGTTACTTACTGCACACTACAGAAATCGTTTGGCTTTGTAATGGACCGTGTACATATGGTAAATTATATATTTTCAACACAACCTTGAGTGCAAGTTGTGCCCCTCTGTATAGCCATGTGAACTTGGTTGAGTTTTTCATCCCTGAATAATCTCAGACTCATGTTTATATAAAGGCAACTTAACCCCTCATAGAATTCTTGTAATGGGATTATGAATATTGCAGGATTTTGGGCACTATCAAGTGCTACACACGTACACTGTTAGCATTCATGCTAAAACCAGTCCCTATTTTCAAATGAAAATTCCTTTATTATTTAATATTCTCACTGCATTAGCATTAAAAAGTAAATGTTCATTTATGAATTTAGCTCCACAGTGATACTCCCTAAGATTCACAACAGCTTATGAGTGCCTCTTTTGGTTGTTTGGAAAGTGTCCAAATTGGGAGCAGGTATGATGTTCCAGAGGCACAAATAGCCTGACTTTACAAAGAGGAAGTCATTCTCTCCAGCCTACACCTGAATCTCATTCCCTCCCTCTCTGCAGATTTCAAAGGTAATGAATAAACCACACAGCTTTTGAGGAAGGAAGACCACTTGGAAGAACTCCCTGACCTTCCCAGAGCCTGCTTTAGGAGAGGTGGATACCTGGCTAATATACCATTAGTATCGGAATGATCATGGACATCCTATTTTATCATGTCAGTGTTCCAGCGGAACAAGGTTGTATGATATTTTGAGGAAGGAGGGTGATTTCCTAATCTGCATGAAGAGTCCAACAGGAGGGCCAGGTGGGAGTGGAGAGTAGGACATGTGAAGAGGAGATCGTAGGGAGAAAGAAAGAAGACAAAAGGCCCCCTGCAGAACTGATTTGAACTTCAATCACCCCAAAACATCCCCTAAACTCAATAGGAGCTTAAGACCATCACATACAGAAATAAGCACATTCTACTAAGAAGAGCACACGTTTTCTTAGAGCTGGTAAAGTACACTAGTCTAACCAGTAACTGTTATAGATTTAGTGACTCTTCAAAACTCCAGTCATAGTGGCACATATCCACACTAAGGTGTGTGAGCAGGGGGCTTCCTGGCCATGAGTATAAAAGGAGGCTGCAAGACCATCACCTCCTACTGAAAATGCTTCCCAAGGGAATTATTGAAGCATCTTAGCAGAGATTGCCCCACTGTTATCTCCAGAAGCAAACCACCCAAGTTCTGCTCACAACTGGAAGCAGTGGGTGATTTGTACCTGGCGCTTCTTTGGGATGATAAATCTTGATGTTGTCATAATAAACCTAAAAAGTGAGTCTCCTCATTCATTCTCTATCAAATACACCACTAACCATGCATTGATATTTCTAAAGGTAAGGGGAAACATATCATTCAAATAGGAATTAGGATAGATTCTTCAACTTATTTTTACTATAAGTAACTGTGGGAACAATTATAATATAAGCACTTTTCAAAATGGACAATTGCTTGTACATTTAAATAAAACAAGAACCCATCGCTGAGAATGCAGTGGCTCTTGTAGGCAGAGTGCAGATACTCAGACTCGGTGGTGACTTTTAGTCTAGGCCAGGCACGGCATAGCATCATCCAAGGAAGCAAGGAAGTGGAAAAGGGGATCTCCAAGCCCTGAACTGAGGCAGCTGTGTACGGTGAGAAGAAAGGGTCTGTGTTTCTTTGAGATCACCTCTTCATTAAAGCATCATGATTCTGTTAGCCCACAGAACAAGTAAGAAAAAGCCAGGCCTACCCTTTCTGATACTTGCTGACATGAAAATGATATAGGACACTTCATATTTTTTAGTGCTTGATGGTCATCTGGCTCATCCCACACATCATTAAGCCTAAACACTCACTTGGGGTGAGAACACTAAACCAGTTGAAGCTCTTAGGGACTCTCCATACCCTTGTTCATCATTCAGCCTTTGATGTGCGTGACTATAACCTTGGCTGGTAGAAGAATGGGGCTCATGCCCCAGGCCACAAAAGAAAAGATCCACAGCATGCATGAGGCCTGGTCTGGGCTAACTGAAATCCTCGGGAGAAAGAATCCATGTTCCCCTTGGGCAGCTCATCTAGGAAACCACATATCACATGTGAATACAATTGACCTCACCTGCCAAGTGGAGAAGCCTTGGAGAAAGCAGTAGATGTTGAGAGACAAGTAGGGAAGAGAATGTTCTGGAAGCACAAAATCCCACCTCTCAGCCCCTAGAATGCCCCAGACTCCTCTTTCAGATCTTTTTTCAGTTCAATAAACTACCCCATTTCCCCCATCTAAATCCTGGTTTTCCTCAAACTAGTCAGTTTGCAGCAGAGAAAATTCTGACTAATAGGTACACATCAAAGTTGCTTCCCAACACTGGAAGCAAAAGAACTGCACTGAGTGTCATGCCCAGAAGCCCACTTACATCATGTCCAATAAGTTCCAGTGCACTTGCAGCCGCAGCTCCTGCTGTGCTCAGCACCTTCTCACTGAGTGGGCCCTCCCGGGGCTCTGAAGATGCGTGTCTCAATGGAGAGGGGCCATCAGGCATCAGGACTGAGGCTTTTCTAATGGAGTGACCCTCAGGTTGGGAGTAGGGATGCCCGCGGACCTGGAGTGGTTCTAAGCAGCAGCAGGTGAAGGGCACAGGGCAGAGATTCAAATAAGCCAGGTCATATGGATGTTGGGGGGCCCTTATGTGCTAGCCCAAAAGTTTACAGGGTGTCTGCGTAGAACATCATGTCTCTCCAGTACCCTTGACCTAGGATTCCAGGGTCAGGGTTCATCCAGTTCTGCATCATTTGCAGCCCAATACAAGGTGAGGCATCCACATGGTGGGGTCTTGATCCCCAAACCCACCCCCACACCATACACTGAACCGAAGCTTTTCACTGGGATGAAAAACAAGAAATTCATGGTTAGAAAGAAGGGTCTGTCTTCAGCGTGGACAATTGAGCTTGGACTATAGTGGTGTGCCCAGATGAATAGGATAGACTAGTGCTCCCTAAACTGTAATGTGTTCATGGACCACCTGGATCTTGTTTAACTGTGGATTCTGGTTCAGGAAGTCTGGGTGGGACCTGGGGGGTCTGTGTTTCTAACAAGCTCCCAGGAATGCCCATGCTTCCAATACCTGGACCACATTTTGAGTGGCAAGATGTAAACTGTTGGGAAATGTGGATCTGGAACCTCTGGTAGGTTGGGGATGTCATCAGAATTTGGGTCACAGCTGAATAAGCCTTGATAGTGAGAAAAATCCCCAGGGAGAAGCAGCTCAGAGAGGAGGGGAGGTGGGGAACACTGTTGCTGGCAGGTCCTGAAGCAGGCAAGGAGCCTGAACAAGACCAGAGAAGGGCAAGTGATCAGGGCCCTGGACAAAGGTGTGTCTGGGAGTTTCTTGAAGGAGGAAGGTCTCAGGAGTGTGAACTCTTCAGAGGTCAGGTAGAAAAGAGGCTAAGCTTTTGCTCCTTCAAATTAATTCAGATTGCACATTTAACACTTTTAAAACAATCTGTTATGTAGGAGAAAACAATTCCCCAAGTGCACAAGGCTGATAGACTTTTACACCGAGCATGCGGGTGTTTGGCTCAGCATATTTTCTCCAGAGCAATGAGTGTCTTTCCATAGGGTGGCGATTTGGAGACTCTTAATTAATGCAAAGTGTGGGATGTGGGGGTGGCCATTGCAGTTTTCGGCTCCTTCTGTTGTCATTGATAAAAGATGACTTGGTGCCTGCATTCTAATAAACACAGCTCGATTAGCTCCACACTAATTTAGTGTCTGATTGTTAAATGTTAATGTACTGCACCCTATAGTTTTAAATAGAATTAGAGATGTTTACAGCTTTGGTTAAATGCACCTTGTTCTTCCACATTAAACTTTATTACAAGTATCCTCCATCAGCAAACAGGAGAAAAACTCATTAGTATCTGGTCTGTGTAGGGGCCATAACTGCTGCTGAAAGAACCAGTGTTCAGTTTTCCTTTATTACAGCATTCAAGCTGGTGGGGTGGTTGGGTGTGATTGCTTCCTGTTTATGAGTTTGGTTAGGATCTCAGACTCCTGGGTCTATGGGGAGATCTTAGGGAATCCACAGATACCTTGGAATTTTTATGCAAGAAGTATGTGTTGTGTCAGTGAGGGTCTGATGTTCTCTTCGATTTTCTAAAGGAGCCCATGCTCAAAAGATGGAACCTTTAGAGATTCGATGCCAAGGTCCTAACTGCAAGGTCCCCTAGGAGCATCATGACGAAGCCTGTCACTTTATGGCTGGGGAAACTAAGAAGTTGGGAAGGGACCTGCTAGTTGGTCCCTTGACCTGGTAGAGCTGTGCTGGAGATGGGCTCTTGACTGCCAGCCCGGAGCACCACCCCATGCCTCCCCCACCTGCATTACTGATCTTGGCTCCACAAAGCCTATCTGATCCCATTCTTCTCCTGGCTGGGTGAGGTCTGGCCTCTTACAGGGCTAGTCTTTCAGCCAAGTAAAGATTGGTGCTGCCCAGCCTTCCCCTTGGCAGGACCTTCTCCATCCTTGTCCTTTTCAGCCCCCCACCCTCTGTTCCCCAGTTCTACGGTCCCCAAGTATTGCATGCCCTGTGACTGCACCCAGCTCACCTCATGGCCAGCTTGGCATTCTTAAAAATGCCTCATCCCTGCTTGGTTTCCCTTCCTAGCTTCCTGGGGGACTTCTCCACCATGTATCCCCCTCTTGTTTTATCTCTTTAGTATTTCCCTCACTCTCTGAAGTGATGGGCATTTCCCAGGCTGGGCAGGCTGCCTCTCAAGCCGTCTTCTCTTGCTTTTTCCTCTGCATCTGGACATCTGCACTTAGGGTGCTGGCTGCCTTCATCCCCTAGCGCCCAGCACAGCTCTGCCCAAGCAGAGATCATTGCTGAGTGTGTGTTCTAGTGCAGAGAATATTTGATTATTCTCTGCACCATTTCACATAGGTGTACCTTCCCTTCCTGAAACTGACTCCCTGCCTTTTATGACACCGCCTCACCTAGTTGTACTTCTTGCGCCTAAGGTGATCCGTGTAATTGCCTTTCCTCCACTCAGCCCTTCAGTGATGGTTTGCTTGAAGGT